CATCGAGTGGAGCAATGCATTCGTTGGGAAACCCAGATTTTCATCAGGACCTTCAACCTTGAAGTGTGGGGTAGCAGCTGGTGTGGAGATCAGGCTCTATCTTCTGCTATGTAGCCCAGAGGCAGCCCTCCTGCACCACTGGGGGTTGGGATGAGTAGCGGAGGACGGGGGGCGAAGGGGGTGAAGGGCGAACGCAGGGTCCGAATTCCTGCTGCTGCTACCCGCGATGTCAGCAAAACCTCTCTCACTCACATGTGCACACAGACAGACAAAGATCCCCTGTGTAGCCTTACGACTGTTGGGGCAAATGTTGTTAGCGAACACCTATGAAGGCCAGCGCGGTACACGAAGACGTAGATGGCCAGCACCACGCCCGACCACCTTTGTCTCCCCAGTGCTGATATTTAGACTCCGCACCAGGTACTCACTTGAGGCCAAGTCGACCTAGAGGAGACACAGGACCGGTTCAGATTATCGTCACCTATGTTGGCCATGAACGAGAATCGAAATCAGGTGACTGGGTATGTATCGCAGTGCACGTATCACTGCGCCACCGCCCTCGATACACGCACACACGCGCACCATCCCAAAACTTCAGTGGGTCTCCTCTCCCCTCATCCACGGACTGCCGCTTCGCTCTGCATTCTAATAGGTGACTCTTTGGTGAAGATAACAGCTGTGCACACACACAATCGACCCATTCAGCAGTGCTGAGGAAAGGCACTACACTTGCAAATTCCAGCTACAGCTATATATAGCGGCGGGACGCTCCTCGTCACTGCTGCTGCCATCACAGCGTGGAGTTGCAGCAGTGAGACTGAAGTGGCTAAGGCGTACATTGGAGTGATCCCGAGGTATCGGTGCCAACTCTAATGCGTGTAGGTCACGTGGGACTAAAACAACAGGAATTCACACGACGATAGGTAAACCCGTATAGGGCTCACTCTATACACATACAGCGCACAAAGTGCGAGGCTCGAAGAGAAACAATGATTCTCTCTCGCCAGGAACAAAGAAAAGTCGAAGATTAGAGGCCGCCAGTGCAGGACGGCATGAGCACGTTCTACGGACGCGCGAGCCTTCAGTGACTGCGGAGTGTTCCGCCACTCACGAGCCGACTAGTAGTTGTGGCGACTCCTCGGGATCTCGCGGATGCAGAAGGACGCAAGCTGTGCGCGGCGCTACCATGAACACCATCGCCACGTGGGTGAGGAGGCATTCGTGGCTGAGCAGCGTGGCCGCCTTTGGGATCCTCTTCGCCGGTGCCGACGCGGTCCAGCAGAGATTCTTGGGACCTCCACCGCCTCCCAGCCACCACCAGCGTCCCCCCCATCACCCCGACGGGGCCCGCACGGCACGGGCTGCGCTGCTGGGCCTCGCGTTCCACGGCAACTTCAACTACGTGTGGCTACGGGGCCTGGAGAGGGCGATTCCGGGGAGTGCGGCGCGGGCAGTGGTGGTCAAGGTGCTGGCGGATCAGACGGTGGCCGGGCCCATCACCATCTCGGCCTTCTTCACTGGTACCCGCTTAGCCTTCGTCAGGGGGCAGTGGGGCGATAGCCCTTCCTTGACACACCATACATCGGCATTCGTGAATAATAATTGAGGAAATGCGTTGAATGTTTGTTTATTAATGTCTGTTCGTTATATGAACAAATATTTAAATTGAACGTCCTAAAGATCCATAGAAGTGTATATGTCCACCCCTGGCGATAACGACTTGCTAACGAGAAAGCATTCCCCAGTGAGCACGACTGTTGACCACTTCCCCGGTAACGGTCTCCAATTCACAGGTGCCGACTGCTGAATGCTGAACACTCTCCAACGTTCACGAGTCGGCGTGCCTCTCTCACCGCCTAAAGATTTGCAGGCAACTGCTTTGTATTGACCAGAAACGATGGAGAATTCACAAATGAACGTTTAGCGTTCACCAGGAAGCCCTCACCGGTCACTGCCATTCAGTCCAAGAGTCCGATCGAGGCGCCTTGCTTACTCCATCGCCCTTCATAGGGCTCACGGAGATGTCTGACTAGACCAGGGGTCGGCAACCTTTCCAAGAAGAGGAGGAGGAGCCATTTCAACACGTAGACTTTCGCGACCAATATCATCCATAATAGAGTTTTTTGGGTTAGATCACTTAAAAGTAATTACTGGCGAAATGTCGTACTCAGATTGTACATGTTGTGGCTTGGTTCTCCAACACACCGGTTAGTGCTGTACTAGTGACGAATTGGCATGTTCTGTTTACGTGACAACCCTTACTAGTTGGCTGTGTCGGGTGTTGGCGGGTTTTAACGACACATTTATATATTTACGCGATCTAACCCAAAAACGTCTATGATGGAGGAACCATGTTTTGTGTTTTTGTCTTTGACTAACATCGTTCGAGATTCGCATCACACGCGGAGCTATTTGAACACAAACACAGCAGCAGGTATGCAACAGATGAGAAGTTGATCAGGTATGCGTCTATTTAGTTTGTGTCCCAATTTAGTTTCTCTTTAGCAATAGTTTGACTGTTGTACATTTTGTTGTATGTATCCCCTAAGCATTTGGGGGTGTATCCCCTAAGCATTTGGGGGTGCCGCGGTAGCAAGGTGTTAACTCCCTCGCCTGGTATATAGGAGGTCGTGGGTTTGATCCTGATCCTGACGATGCCTGTATATTTGGAGTTTGCATGTTCTCCCTGTGGTCGCGTGGATTTTTCTCCGGGTCCTCCGATTTTTCCCTCCACATTTAAAAACATGCATTTAGAGTATTTGGCTGATATACATTTTCACATAAGCCACTTGTTAAGCTATCGTTTGTGATCGCCAGGTCACTTCTGTAAAAGAGTTATACAGTTCAGTGGGCCTTACCTGGTACAATAAACATAGGTTAGGTTAGGTATTCATCGGAAACTGCTTACCATGTATTGTGCCCCCTAAGCATTCACCCGTAGTTTCTGCCACAGTGTGTCACTGAATACGTCTTTAGTCCAAATGTTGGTGAAATGTGCGTGCGTCTCGATCACCAACAACAGAAACAACAACGGGGAAAACTGACAAGGGCCGTGTGCTCTGGAACTATCGTAGAGAGTTGCCCCACTTATTGTAGTTTGGCAGCTCTGAGGCAATGGTTAGGATTCTACATTTCCAAGGAGGCATTCTGTCTATCCCAACCACTGGCAGACTTCTGACAAACTCAAGTCCTGGATAAAAAACATGCCTCCTCGCGCCTTGTAAAATAAAGGCTTTACAAGTTAAACGTGTGCCGAGTTTGCAATCATTAATAGTGCAATTGCTTAAGTATCACCGGTTTAATTATGCGTGCAAGCACTATTGCAGTGGTCTCCTGTGAAGACAACTGCCTCTGCCCAGATAATATTTCACTGCTGGCTCACAGTTTGAGCTGAGATACTTTGGGCTGTGTTCTTAGCCACAGCTCACTTCTGGCTTGGCCTCTAATGCGGATCAGTTCAGACTTGAGCCGCATTTAAAAGACGCACGAGCGAGCCGCTCAGCCGTGGCTCGGCTCAGGGTGAGCTCATGAACATCCTGGGCATGGCTGAGGCTGTGCTCGGAGCCAGCTAAAGTTAAGCGTGGCGTGAACCGGCTTACTTGAGCCAGAATCAAGCTTGAGATGAGCTGTGACTAAAAATACTGCCCTTCACTTTCACTTGCTTATCTAGTGACTACACCTTTCAACATCTTTTTTTTGTCTCGTGTGCAGGGATGAGTCTGCTGGAAGGAAAGCCAGACATTTTTAAGGACCTCAGGCAAAAGTTTTGGCCAACCTATAAGGTGTTGAAAATGTCAAATTAAATCACACGCGGCTTCATATCAACATAAGTGTGTGCACATTGACTTCACTATCCCACAGTAATTTTGGTGATCACAATGCCATTAATATGTATAGTATAACGAGATGTTATAACCTGGCCAGATGGCAACACGGAGAGCATTTGACTCAATTACATGGTCGTGAGTTCATAATCCTGTCAGCAAATGAATCAACCCTTCATCCCTCTGGGAACAATAAAATATCTTAAAATTTGTGAGGAGGTCACCAGTAGTGCTCATATGGTTAAACTGGTCCATGCCAAAACAATGTGGAATTTACACCAATGGTTCATGGCCACCAAATGAAAATCCCACTTCCTAAGCTTGTTTGTAAAGAGAGACTTTTCAGCCCATGTTTCATTTTTTATACCGATTACTTTTTTAACAGTCGAGCATTACTCTTTGGTTCTTTCGGTAAAGTCACGTAGAAAGAAAATAAATTAAATAATAGGATACGACGTTTCGATTGCTACACAAGCAACCGTCATCAGGTAAGAATGAATGAGAAAACAAACCTAGTAAACTTAGAAGTATAATGCAATACAACACAGAGAGTCGGTTAACACAACAGTCAACATCCTACCTGGTTGATTACGTTCTTCCAAAGATTGCTAAATTTGTGAGAGACAAAACACAGACACGGGGACACATAGACCGACACACAAGTAGAGAGACACACAGACACACAGAGATACACACATGTGTCTCTGCTTGTGTGTATATGTGTCTCCGTGTCTGTGTTTTGTCTCTCAAATCTAACAATCTTTGTAAGAACGTAATCAACCAGGTAGGGTGTTGACTGTGGTGTTAGCCGACTCTCTGTGTTGTATTGCATTGTATTTCTAAGTTTACTAGGTTTGTTTTCTCATTCCTTCTTACCTGATGATGGTTGCTTGTATTGCAATTGAAACGTTGTATTATATTATTTAATTTATTTTCTTTCTATGTGACTTTACCGAAAGAACCAAAGAGTAATTCCTGCAAGTCACGAAAGCTTTAAATCAAGTCGAGCATTGTAATCAATTTTTGTTTAAATTATCAGAATATGCTAAATTAAGTCGATAGCAGGGGCAGTCATATGTTTTGGGGAAGAAAACAGTTAGGTTGGCACAGTCAGCTTTGACCCGTATTTACCTGTTAGCCCAATCGAAATATCGTGAAGAACAGAATAGGTTAAAAGGCTGGATGGCTTTTTTCAAATACGAAGAAGTGCGCACTCACTTTATACACAAAGTCAAAGTGATGTCCTGCTGCTCAAACGAGCATTGGGGCGGTGCTCATCTCCCGTTGACAACTGTGAGCCAGCATGGAAAATCCACATTCCTATGGTGGGGGTGAGTCCCTCCATAGGGCAACCACTGTTGACTTCTCTACACAGTAGTACTCATTGTCTTGATTCCAGAGGGACGATGGGCTAAGTCAACCATCCACCAGGATTTGAACTCGCGCCTAATTGCGAGCCACGCTACCGCTGAGCCACCCGGCCAGTTATGTCTGTACACCGTGTTCACTGCTCCTCGTGTGAAGTCACGAACCACACTTGCCCCAACTGTATACGAGGCTGTGTGGGAAATCTTTGTCTTTGCAGTAAAATGAACGTTTATGCAATCTTCTCATTCTTCTTGTTGGCAGACGGGCGTTGTTTATTGGTCGGCAATGCAGGTAATACCATCTCCTCTTACCATCATCTGTAACTTATACCTGACAAACACATACCAAGGAGCCCACATTGTACCGCACGTTTGGAAAGCACCACTCTATCTCAGTAGAAATTGTTTCTGGTAGGAACCTCCTGGTTACACTAGCCCACAGGGGATTATTGTGTCCGTCCGTCGTGCAGGGAGGGGCTGGGTGGGGAGGGAGGGGCTGGGTGGGGAGGGTGGGGAGGGACTGGGTGGGGAGGGTGGGGAGGGGCTGGGTGGGGAGGGGCTGGGTGGGGAGAGGAGGGTGGGGAGGGGCTGGGTGGGGCTGGGTGGGGAGGGTGGGGAGGGACTGGGTGGGGAGGGTGGGGAGGGGCTGGGTGGGGAGGGTGGGGCTGGGTGGGGGGTGGGAGGGGTGGGGCTGGGTGGGGACGGGCTGGTCACCCCATGGTGCCCTTATACAACTCAACGTTTAACATCACGCCGGCTTGTGCCCGCCCTCACAGTCGGGCATATTTGCGGAATATACTACACCGCCGTTGACCCTGGCCATTGACCGAGCAACCCAACGTTCCTACCAGCTCCCTCCGCAGGAATGTGTTTACATGTTCTTCAAAATTTCTAATGCATCACATCTTTATACATGTTTCCTGTGCATAATGCACCAATTCTAAGGAGTCACCAACTGAGTCCCTTTCTACTGCTGTTAACAAGGGAAAATTCCAAAAGCCACTGGCCTTGCTGTGTAGTTTTGTGTTTTGAGGCAGTGTTGGTGATGGCAGCAGTGTTAGGATGCAACGTGATACATGTGTAGTGGCTTTTATAAAATTACTCACACCGACACGTTGTAACAAGTCACCTATTTACACTTTATTCTTGTACCAGTTGTAGGCACTCCTATAACTATCTATACGGTCACTTATGTGTAATCTCTCCTCACTCTTATCTACCTTCCACCTCACTTATCCTGCACTTGGCAGCTCTACTCTCAGCGACTCCGCACACAGCGTCTTCGCACACAGCAACTCTACATCTCCACCGCTGCCCTCACCTACGCTCCCTCAGACCCGCTCACCCATCTGTTCTGGGCGGGGGGATCAGCCAACATCCGCCCGTCGACGGCGTGAGGGTTGAGGTTCCGTTGACGGCTGGAGCGGCAGCGACGAGATGTCTTCACTCTTCGACTCCGGCAACAACTCCCTCTCCGCTCATGCACACACCCTTATATCCCTCTGCTAATTATCCGAGACCTCTCATGCGTCTCTTTATGCTCTCGCCAGGCCGGCGCCTGTCGGCCCATCAATCAACCCTTATCTCCCATCTCCCTGGCAACACCTCCGGTCTCAACGTACACAACCGGTCGACCCAGTTTGCACCTGCTTCGCCCCTTAACAACTGGCGGTTTGTCCGTGCAACCTCATGTTGCACACGCACACCTGTTTGCCCTCAGTTACCCTCGCTTAACTGTGCACACCGCGTATTTCACTCCTCTACACATGTATCAGGTGTGCTGGGTGTGGTGGGCTATGCCTGTGATCCACGCTATCTCCACAGTATGGCGTGTTCATTCACCCATCCGTTTGAATTTTGTTGAGTGTTCATCATCATCATCAACCATGATCTGTCCACTGCTGAATGAAGGCATCTCCAAGTCATTGCCAAACCTCAGTCTCGTAAGGGAACAATCCATCCAGCTCCTGCAAATGAGCCAGTCTCATCCTGTTGTCTCTGTGGCAGTTGCCCTCTGGGGTGTGTACCCCTCCTTAGGTTCCCATTCCATCACCGGTCTTGACAATCAGCCATCATCCCTAATGGCGAGCGATTTGTCCTGCCGATGGCCACAGATTTTCTCAGGGGTCAATAGATGTCTCTCGTTTGTGTCTATGCTCTGGGTTTTCATGGTCATTAGTTTTATCCTGCATATTAACCATTCTATAAAAAAGAAAGTTGCCAAACATGCTAATGCAGGATCCTTTTGAAAATGTCTAAAAGCTATGATCTTAGTCGTGGTTCGGCTTTAGTTTGAACTCTCAAGTCAGAATCGGCTTGGGTTTAAGCCTCTCACTTGCTGTCAAATACGCACGAGTGATATACTCAGCGGTGGCTCGGCTCAGCAGATGGAAATCTTAAGTACGGCTGGGATCATGCTCAGAGCTGGCTTAAGTTGAGTGTTAGGGTTTTCAACTTGCTCTTTTGAGCCAAACCCAAACCTGAGCCGAGCCATCTCTAAGAATTCGGGCCTCCTCAGTGAAGCTTTTCCGAATAAGGAAATTAGTTTGTTAGGTGGCCAAGTTTGCAAGCTGCTATTACCGATGCCGTGTCCCCTGTCCTGCAGACCATCAACTTCACGCTGGTGCCTCCGTACGCGCGTTCAGTGTTTGTGGGCGTCTGTGCCTTCTTGTGGACCTGCTACCTGTGCTACGTGCGGCAGCACAGCTTCGGGACAGACAGGGAGCAGCAGCAGCACGAAGTATGGGAGTACAAGGAGCAGCACGAGGAGGAGCCAGGAGGTCCGGGGCAGTAGCCACATACGTAGAGGGATGGGGTTAACCTGAACTCACGCCCTGGGCCATGCCACACAGGAGAGGAAAAACTCTGCAGCACCAACTCAAGGTTTCTATTTAAAGTCACTCATCGGGTATTATCAATGAAGCGCTGCAGCGAGGCATCTCAACGAGACTTTACATTGTTCTTATTCTGAACAAACCTTCATTCAGTGAGGCTTCTCATTGAGAATGTTCTGTAAAGCACCTCAGTGTAAAGGCACATACAACCAAATCAACTTGAATGTGCCCAGTCACATCATATCTCAGAAGACAAGCAGTGCTGAGCCTGGATTGGGTGGGTGACCACCTAAGTATAATCCAGGGCTTGCCAGGTGTTGTGGGTGTTGGGCTGCAAGGTAGTAGCCAGGAGATAGTGGCGAGTAACACTCTTTTGAGTGATACTCAAGGGTGATGCGGTGGCGAGATGTTAACTACCTCGCCTGGTATACAGGAGGTCGTGGGTTCATCCCGACCTTGATGCCTGTACATTTGGAGTTTGCATGTTCTCTCTGTGGTCATGTGTATTTTTCTCCAGTTCCTCCGATTTTTCCCTCCACATTTAGAATCAACACGCATTTAGAGTATTTGGCTACAATACATTTGTAGTGCCGTAGATGGGCCACGCTTACCGACAGTGGTAGACAAGGTCCATCTGCAAGGGTGCCCTGTACCGCCAAGGGGGGGGGGGGGCTGCGGGGGATCTACGATCCCACACGCCACCCCTCGATGGGGACCCTAGACAGCTAATCCCCTCGGCGCCACCAACGGGGGGGGGGGGGGGGGGGGGGGGCTGCGGGGGATCTACGATCCCACGCAACGCCACCCCTCGATGGGCAAAGGGGCATAAATGGGGACCTCCCCAGCCAATCGGGACCAGTCGCAGCTCAAGACCCAAGACCAGCCAGCTTAGCACCCTGGACCCCCTCGCCCCGCTTGTCCTTGTAAGGGCCGGGACGCTGTGCGGGCCAGTGGTGGGACTCTGGGACTCCCGGCTCTACGTCCTTGTAAGGGCGAGTTCCGAAGAAGCCAGAGTCTAGACCCGCATCTTGGCTGGGTCGGGTCAGGTAGCCTTCCCTAGGGTAATTGTAGCCGGACGACCCGTGAGCATAGCCAGTGTTAGGCACGCTAGGAGAAGGCTCTGTCCCTAGGCTGTGTCCCTAGGCCAGGGGTCGGCAACATGCGGCTCCGGAGCCGCATGCGGCTCTTTACGGGCTGCTTCTTGACGATATGTACGTATATACAGTATGTACATAGATGCATTGCGGCTCTTGAAATACTGAATTTTGTACCGAATTGGAAAGAAATGGCTCTTCTTGTTATTTTGGTTGCCGACCCCTGCCCTAGGCTGTGTCCCTAGGCGGTGTCCCTAGGCTGTGTCCCTAGGCGGTGTCCCTAGGCTGTGTCCCTAGGCTGTGTCCCTAGGCTGTAACAGAGTATCAGGACTGTTGGAGTGTGGTATCGTAATAAAGAAGTTACCTCTACAAGTGTCTCCGGAAGCCATTACACATTTACATGCGATAAGACACTTCGTTGAGCTATCATTTGTGGCCAGATCGCTTCTGAAAAATAGCTATATAGCTCAGTGGGCACTTACCTCGTAAAATAAAAAATTGTAAAAAAAGGTTTTGAATGTCTGGGTTTTATCTGGGTAGTCTGGTTTCCTCCGACCTGTAGTTAAACAATGCACCAAAGGGATTTGCTACATCTCAATTCAGGCTGCTCTTAAATAAATAAGTAATTGGCATTCTAACAGCGTTGCTTGGTCAGCATTACTCAAATCCTAGCTGGACGTGCCATGACACGTGTGCACATGCGAAGTCTTAACAAACACTGCGCCTCTTCAGCCAAAGAAGATATTGCTACGTGCCTGCTGTCAATAGGAAGACTTTATTCAAAATTTGTTCAAGGCTATTATTCAAGCACATTCATTAAGTACCATCTTGGGAATGTACTTTGTAAACCGAGCAATCAATGCTGTATACAGTACCCAGATAATATACATTTTCTAAGAATGAAAACATCCAATTTTATGCCAATTTAAGCTGAGCTTTAAAAACGTAAAAGTAACTTTGGCATGCCTCTAAGAACTTGTAAACATTAACCCATGAACAAACTTCAGACTCAATCATATATATTTATATGTATACACATATTGAACCAAAATGAAAGAAAGAAAATAAAGTCTGCATGGCAGTTATTTGCAGTACCAAAATATAAGGGATATGCTTTAAGTTAACTCACGCTGCTTGTAAATTACTTTAGTGGCCAACCAAGATACAGGCATTGCACATGACAGATGCAGCTGGCATCAGAAATTAGTTCACAGGAAGAATACACATTAAGTAAATCAGCACAGGATACACATACCTCTTCGCTTCACAAGTTCTCACGATTTACCTCATTGGCCAGTTGCATAACGACCCTTGAGCTGAATTAACAGGCGCGTCTCACTTCACGAGCGAGATACGTTCTGCGACAAAAGCTCGGTAAGCAAAAACTTGAGCAACTAAAATAGTTTTCCCACTGACTCCTAACCATTGTTAAAAACTGACCTACGTTTCAATCCCAACATTTTCCACTCTTGAACAACGTTTTTTAACATGAGAAATATCATCAGGTCCTGATGGTACACCAGCTGAAGTACTGAAAGTGGGGGGGAGAAACATGCTCCTGGTCCACTGAAGAACACTGCTGACTTACGCAGCGCTAACATCGTCACCAGTTTAAAAAACGGAGACAAGGCCGACACTGTGGCAACTATCAAGGCACTGCCATCCTCTCAATCGCTTGTGAAATGCCTGCGAGGCTCGTACAGACTGGTCTGCTCGTTCCAACAGAGGAATTACTCCCAGAGTCCGAGCATGGCTTGAGACCATCACGAGGCACCACCGAAAATGATTTTCGCAGCCAGGCAGATCCAGGAAAAATGTCCAGAACAAGACCAAGAGCTGTTGATGGACTTCATCAATCTGACCAAAGCCTCTGATTCTGTCAACCGTGAGGTCTCTGTGGAAAACCAAGTCAGAGTTTGGCTGCTGAAGCAAATTAACCACCATTGTGAGACTCCTCCACAACCAAACGACTGATTCCATCCTGTGCAGTAGCTCTATACCTCCGAGCCCTTTGCCATTCTAACTGGGGCGTAAAACAAGGTTGTGTACCACCCACACTCTTCTCCATTTTCCAAGCAGATATGAAACTGTTAATCAAAGAGTGTCTGCCACAGGGCATTGTCATTCAATATCAGACTGACGGAAACCTCTTTATCCTCTCTTGCATCTGTGCCAAAACGTAGCATCAGCTACAATCACCAATCTCCAGGAGACAGATGACCGTGATGTGCTTAAAGGACGATCTATAAACAGCTGTTAACTGCCTCTCTGATGCTCACAAAAGCTGAGGGCTAATCCTGAACATCACAAAAAAATTATTCATCAGCCTGCTCCCAGTCAACCATCATATCCAGCAAGGGAGATATACATTGCCCGAGAGGAAATGAAAAATATAGAACACTTTGCCTACCTTGGCAGTCACCTCTCACAGTGAGCAAACACGGTTGTTGAGATTCAGCACAGAATCTGCTGTGCCAGCTTGGTCGTTGGCAGACTATCTCTCTGGTGTTCAACAACCACGACATCATAACACACGCTAGATTTCGATTTAAAGCTTTCGTGACTGCAGGGATTCATCTTCTTGGTTCTTTCGGTAAAGTCACGCAGAATGGAAATAATAAAATAATAAAAATAAAACATAATAAAATAATTCTCACGACGTTTCGGCCACAACGCAAGCAGCCGTCCTCAGGTGAAGAAAAGGTCTGTTGAGAAGACAGAGTCTGAATGACACACTCCAGGCTTGGAGGGACTATTTAAGCCGGGATGGAGGGGCGCCTTGACAAAAGAATTTGCATATCAAGAGGAAATTAGCATATTTATGGGAAATGCAGATATGCGATTATTACTACTTAAGCTGTACTAAGTACTAATCGCATATCTGCATTTCCCATAAATATGCTAAATTCCTCTTGATATGCAAATTCTTTTGTCAAGGCGCCCCTCCATCCCAGCTTAAATAGTCCCTCCAAGCCTGAAGTGTGTCATTCAGACTCTGTTTTCTCGACAGACCTGTTCTTCACCTGAGGACGGCTGCTTGCGTTGTGGCCGAAACGTCGTGAGAATTATTTTATTATGTATAATTTTTATTATTTTATTATTTCCATTCTGCGTGACTATACCGAAAGAACCAAGAAGACACACGCTAGATGTTTAGTTTACAATGTGTTGGTGATTGCAACTCTTCTCTATAGCTGTGAGATGTGGGTGACTTAAGGAAAACACCTGAAAAACCTAAAACGCCAGCACCGGCAATAATTCGGAAGATTCTCAACACCAATTGGAAGGATCGTTGCTGCAATAGGATCGGTGTCCTCACGGAGGCCAAAATCGTCAGTGTTGAAGCCTCGATTACCCTAGCACCAGTTGAGTGCAGTGGGGACTGTGTGCGTATGCTTCATCAAAATACTGGCTGTATGCCCAAATCAGAGTAGAAAGGAAGCGGGGAGGCCAAAACAAATGATACCCTCAAGACAAACATCAAGAGATGTGGCACCGGCACCACACACAGTAGGCCAAGACGGGGCAATGTGGCAATTACTTTTGAGGGAAATCGCCTTGCCCTGGTCGCAAAAACAGCCAGGAAATAAAGAACAGAAAACTGTCCTGTGGCAAACGAGGCCCAACTCTGCCTATCCCACACCACCTACAATGTTTGTCAACGAGTTTTCTTTTCAAGGATTGAACTCTTCTGTCACCCAAGGACACATGTAAAATAAAACCTGCGAAAGAGACCATCATTGACCTGAAGGATCGCCAAATAAGAGATGAGATAGGACCATCGTGAAAAAGAGTAAGGCTTCATGGATAAAGGGAATATTATAATTAATTGGCCTGAACTGGCTCAGCGTTGGTGTTCGAGATATAGGGTGGGTGAGTTGGGGGGGTGGGATTTATTTAATCAACTTCCTGCTGGAGCAAAATAAATGATAATCACCTTGAGTGACAGATGCATACTGGGATGCTCACACTCATAGAATTGTATTTAAGATAATATTGTTATAATTATCTTTAACAAAAAAAGTTTAATTAGAAATTTGTAATGCTTTGCTGCCACTGTTATCTGTTGCCCGAGTCGCTCTTGAAACAGCGGAACATTGTTGGTGACCCACACCTCTAAGGTGTATCATTATAGTCTCATCAATAACACCATGTGGATTAAGGTCTTCCTCCTGGTCGCCGAACCTCTAAGTATTTTACCCAACAATCACAGCAATGTCCCACTTCACCTTTAAAATGATTTAACCCACACTGCTCAAACAAAATAAATGACCAATATGACAACAGCAACCACAAACCCACCCCCCCCCCTGGACAAAAGTAAAACCTCTCAGCGGTGCAGCCTTCACTTGTCTGCATCCTCGAGCGCCTGCACAAGCCAGTCCCGCGTGCGCTCGTCCCCCGAGTCCGACGCGTCGCTCTCATTGGACAGCAGCCGGGAGTAGCTGAGGCCCTTCGGCCTGGGCGCTCGCGCCTGCGCCAGTCCAAACACTGTGGCCCATATGGCTAGCAGCGCTGCGCAGCCCTGGAATGTCCGCTCCACGCCCACCTCCTGCACCAGCGCGCCGCCAGCCGCGGCGCCGGCTCCCGCACCCAGCCCCACCGCCAGCGCCCGCGCCACAGATCGCGCGGTCCGCTCACTGACGCCCGGCACACATTCGAGTCCCACGCGCCGCAGCACGGCGTGCCATGCCAGCGGCGCCCCCAGACCCGATGCCGCGTATACTAGCGCCAGCGCCCACGGCGTGCGCAGGAGCGAGTACGCGAGTGCCTGCGCAGCGAACACTGTTACGCCCAGCGCGGCCGTGACGCCGGCATTCAAGTCGATGGGGCAGAGCTGGCAGCGGCGCACAAGGGCGCCGCCGCGACGCAGCCAGGCCAGCAGCAGCTCACCAGCGGCGGCCGCCGACACCGCCCCTCCCATGAGCATCTCCGAACCGCCGAGCTCGCGCATGCGGCAGAAGATGAAGCAGTCGACGACGGCGCCGGTGGCGGCCAGCACAAACAGTGTGGGCGCGCACAGCAGCGTGCCGGCGTCGGGGCCACACGCCGTGCGTCGCAGGGCGCGCCGCAGCGAGGCCGTGGGGCCGGTGGGGGCCACGGCGCCATGCACCGGGTAAGCGAGCGCCGCGAGCAGGGCGACCGCGAGCAGCGCGGACGACGTGTAGAAGTGTGGCAGCATCGAATCCACATGCTGGGACAGGGCGCAGGCGCCCAGCGCTGCTACCGACGCACCCAGCAGGCTCCACAGCTCGTGCTGCCCGTACCTGTATAGGCGGCACCAGGACAGAGGCGTGGGGCATGTTACCACAGCAGCACCGGAATCAACTCCCCTTGTTCATTAAGCAGCCCCCATCATTAACCTTCTTCCGTTCCTCTCTTAAAGCCTCACCTCTTCTCTATTGCTCATTCTCTTCCTCTTACCCTCCCCACCTCCACTCCTTTCCATCCCTCCCTTACACTTTCATGAACCCTAAGTATTCTCTATCACTCATTTCTCAATCCTTGTACGCCCCTGCCATCTTCATCATTCTATTGTCACCGTATTGTAAGCTATGTCAAGTGCCTTGAGTGAAGAATCTCTCTTCTTGGTTCTTTCGGTAAAGTCACGTAGAAGGAAAATAATAAAATAATAAAAATAAAACATAATAAAATAATTCTCACGACGTTTCGGCTACAACGCAAGCAGCCGTCCTCAGGTGAAGAATGAAGAAGAGCGCCTTGACAAAAGAATTTGCATATCAAGAGGAATTTAGCATATTTATGGGAAATTCGTAGGAGGTGGGCGGGGGGGTTTCAAAATCATATTATGCCCATGCATTATGCAGGATTAGCAGCATCAAAGGGAGGGGGTAGGGGGTAGCATTAACAAAGGGAGGGAATGTTAATAGTATGTAGAAGCAACGAAACATGTCAATGGGAGAGCGGTGTCAGGAGACCCGCAGCGGAGCAAATAATCCATTCCCTGTGGAGAACACAAGATACACAGTCAATGCCAGTGAGTGGACTGCGGTCTGAAAGTCACCGTAAACGTGAACAACAATCAGTTAAAATCCGAAATGGTTTATTACGTCCTTCCATTGATTGCTGAGCCAGAATCCATCTTCTCGGTTGAAATTCTCGGTTGGTCTGAAATCCGTTTTAGCTAAAGGAGTAAACTTTGCAGTCACACCTAGACACATACCAGTTAATGATATCATTGCCCGAGTAGATGTGGCTCTCAAGGGCCTGAGACACATCGCTGCAGATGTAGCAAGATCTGAAATCGCTACAACCCTCAAAAACGCTAAGATGCCAGTTAGTAACATCAGCAAAGATGAGCGTTTTGAATTAGCTCTATTAAAAAAGAGGGATGACATTGTCATCCTCTCAGCCGACAAAGGCAATGCCACTGTCATCATGGACAAAACAGAATACAACAACAAAATTCAAGAACTACTCAACGATGGCAGCTATACAAAAATAAAAAGAGACCCCACCAACAGCCTCGTCATTAAAACCAACAAAATCATTTCTGATTCAACCGCATTAATTGATCAAACCAAACAGTTCTCGTTGAAACCCTCTGCAGCCAGGCCACCAAGATTATATGGCTTGCCAAAGATACATAAAGAAGATACACCTCTTCGTCCCATTGTCTCGACTATCAACTCCCCCACCTACAAACTGGCTCGTTTTTTGTCTGAAATCCTGCAGCCTTTCACTGGAAAAACCACCTCTGCAGTACTAAACTCTACTGACCTGGTATCGACAATCAAGGGAATGTACCTGTCCCCAGACGACCTGCTTGTTAGTTTTGATGTGGTTTCCTTATTCACCAAAGTTCCTGTACCTGACACCATCGCAATCATTGAAGACTTGGTTCATCAAGGATTGAATACTGGTGTACCCCCCCTGGTGAGACACTGCTTAACCAATACATACTTCACCTGGAATGGAACTTTCTACAAACATACTGAGGGCAAATTTCGATTTAAAGCTTTCGTGACTGCAGGGATTCATCTTCTTGGTTCTTACGGTAAAGTCACGTAGAAGGAAAATAATAAAATAATAAAAATAAAACATAATAAAATAACTCTCACGACGTTTTGGCTACAACGCAAGCAGCCGTCCTCAGGTGAAGAATGAAGAAGAGTGCCTTGACAAAAAAATTTGCATATCAAGAGGAATTTAGCATATTTATGGCAAATGCGTAGGAGGTGGGCTGGGGGGTTTCAAAGTCATATTATGCCCATGCATTATGCAGGATTAGCAGCATCAAAGGGAGGGGGTAGGGGGTAGCATTAACAAAGGGAGGGAATGTTAATAGTATGTAGAAGCAATGAAACATGTCAATGGGAGAGCGGTGTCAGGAGACCCGCAGCGGAGCAAATAATCCATTCCCTGTGGAGAACACAAGATACACAGTCAATGCCAGTGAGTGGACTGCGGTCTGAAAGTCACCGTAAACGTGAACAACAATCAGTTAAAATCCGAAACGGTTTATTACGTCCTTCCAATGATTGCTGAGCCAGAATCCATCTTCTCGGTTGAAATTCTCGGTTGGTCTGAAATCCGTTTTAGCTAAAGGAGTAAACTTTGCAGTCACACCTAGACACATACCAGTTAATGATATCATTGCCCGAGTAGATGTGGCTCTCAAGGGCCTGAGTCGCATCGCTGCAGATGTAGCAAGATCTGAAATCGCTACAACCCTCAAAAACGCTAAGATGCCAGCTAGTAACATCAGCAAAGATGAGCGTTTTGAATTAGCTCTATTAAAAAAGAGGGATGACATTGTCATCCTCTCAGCCGACAAAGGCAATGCCACTGTCATCATGGACAAAACAGAATACAACAACAAAATTCAAGAACTACTCAACGATGGCAGCTATACAAAAATAACAAGTAAACCCGTAAAAACAAAGTTTTTCACTATAAATCCTTTATATGCGTGGCGGCTAGAGTCTTCTCGTCCTCTGGCTTGAGATGGCTGCCACCTATGGGTCAGATGATTGTCTGCCAGTATTAAGCAATTGGTAATTAAATATTTAATTTGTTTTCCCTAAACAGTGTAAAATTTGGATTTTTTTCACGAAAATTAATTGTCACACACAACGAGTCTGTGTGGAAAATGTCAGCTCGATTGGATCACGGGAAGTGGGTTAAAAAACGAGCGAAAGATTTGCACGGTCCTAAGCAAGCAAGCGAACTTAATATAAAGGATTTAAAAATATATTCGCCTGTGGAGGACGCGGGGATCGATCCCGCGACCTTTGGCATGGGAAGCGAGGGCGCTGCCAACTGCGCTACTCCGCCACGGCCTGTGGAGGGGTTACGCTCTGGGCTCCTACACTGTGACGTTCAGCCAAAGCCATGAATGAGTTCTATTTGAATAAATGTAAAATACATTTTTTTGCCTAAAAAGTGTAACATTTTTGAAAAAAAATTTCACGAACATTAATTGTCTCGCACAACGAGTCTGTGTGCAAAATGTCAGCTCGATTGGATCACGGGAAGTGGGTTAAAAAAACGACCGAAAGATTTGCACGGTCGTAAGCAAGCAAGCAAGCACGCAAGCACGCAAGCAAGCAAGCAAGCGAACTTAATATAAAGGATTTAAAAAGAGACCCCACCAACAGCCTCGTCATTAAAACCAACAAAATTATTTCTGATTCAACCGCATTAATTGATCAAACCAAACAGTTCTCGTTGAAACCCTCTGCAGCCAGGCCACCAAGATTATATGGCTTGCCAAAGATACATAAAGAAGATACACCTCTTCGTCCCATTGTCTCGACTATCAACTCCCCCACCTACAAACTGGCTCGTTTTTTGTCTGAAATCCTGCGGCCTTTCACTGGAAAAACCACCTCTGCAGTACTAAACTCTACTGACCTGGTATCGACAATCAAGGGAATTTACCTGTCCCCAGACGACCTGCTTGTCAGTTTTGATGTGGTTTCCTTATTCACCAAAGTTCCTGTACCTGACACCATCGCAATCATTGAAGACTTGGTTCATCAAGGATTGAATACTGGGGTGCCCCCCCTGGTGAGACACTGCTTAACCAATACATATTCACCTGGAATGGAACTTTCTACAAACAAACTGAGGGCAAATTTCGATTTAAAGCTTTCGTGACTGCAGGGATTCATCTTCTTGGTTCTTTCGGTAAAGTCACGTAGAAGGAAAATAATAAAATAATAAAAATAAAACATAATAAAATAATTCTCACGACGTTTCGGCCACAACTTCAGGTGGAGAACAGGTCTGTCGAGAAGGCAGAGTCTGAATGGCACGCCCCAGGCTTGGAGCGACTATTTATGCTGGGATGGAGGGGCGAAGAGCGTCATGACAAAATAATTTGCATATCAAGAGGAATTTAGCATATTTATGGGAAATGCAGATATGCGATTAGTAAACTGAGGGCACCCCAATGGGCTCCCCCCTATTTCCGGTTGTAGGCAACGTTTTCATGGAGAAATTTGAGACTGACGTCATTCAGGCTGCCACTCTACGCCCGACCTTATGGAAGAGGCACGTAGATGACACTTTTGTCATCTGGCCACATGGCCGGCCTGCTCTAGACCAATTCCTCGAACACCATGGAAGTCGAAAAAGATGGCAAGCTACCCTTTTTGGATGTCCTAATTAAAAGGAGACCTGATGGTTCAATGAGCCATTCTGTCTACAGGAAAGCCACCCATATGGATGCTTACCTAAAACCGAATTCCCAGCACCATCCATCCCAGAAGAACTCCCTTATCAAGACTCTATACCATAAAGCCCAATGCATCTCCGACCAGGAACACATTGCCAGTGAACTCAAGCACGTACACCAAGCTCTCAAGGCTAATGGTTACTCTGACTACACAATCCGCAAAGCCATCACTCCAACCATCAAGAAGGGTCCTGTTGAGGAGCCTTTCAAAACCATCACCTTACCCTACATTGCTGGGGTCACAAAAAAGATCTCCAAAATCCTGATTAAACACAAGATCCAGGTCCGATTCAACACAATACATAAAATCCGTGATCTGGTCCCGTCTGTAAAAGACGTGGTTCCAGACATACAGTACCCTGGCGTCTACAAACTAAGTTGCCTCTGTGGTAGCAGATACATTGGAGAAACCAAATGACATGTCTCGGACCGCATCCGTGAACAGCAGACCTGAAACACGGTAGGACAAACACTTCAGCCGTGGCAGATCACTGTTACAATTCAGTGGGCTCACATGACATTGACTTCTCCAAGACAGAGGTTCTCTGCAAGCCATCTGGCTACTATGAGAGATTCGTTCATGAGGCGATCCACATATACAAACACAGAGACAATTTCAACCGAGAAAATAGATTCTGGCTCAGCAATCATTGGAAGGACGTAATAAACCATTTCGGATCTTAACTGATTGTTGTTCACGTTTACGGTGACTTTCAGACCGCAGTCCACTCACTGGCATTGACTGTGTATCTTGTGTTCTCCACAGGGAATGGATTATTTGCTCCGCTGCGGGTCTCCTTTCTCCGCTCTCCCATTGACATGTTTCGTTGTTTCTACGTACTATTAACATTCCCTCCCTTTGTTAATGCTACCCCCTACCTCTTCCCTTTGATGCTGCTAATCCTGCATAATGCATGGGCATAATATGACTTTGAAACCCCCCCACCCACCTCCTACGCATTTCCCATAAATATGCTAAATTCCTTTTGATATGCAAATTCTTTTGTCAAGGCGCTCTTCTTCCACCTCCAACCCAGCTTAAATATACACTCCAAGCTTGGTGGTGTTTCATTCTTCACCTGAGGACAGCTGCTGGCGTTGTGGCCGAAACGTCGTGAGAATTATTTATTATGTTTTATTGTTATTATTTTAATTATTTAGTATGTTTTATTTTTATTATTTTATTATTTTCCTTCTACGTGACTTTACCGAAAGAACCAAGAAGATGAATCCCTGCAGTCACGAAAGCTTTAAATTGAAATGAAGAATCTCTATAAATATAAGTGAGATTAGATTTATGAGTCCGCATTATCCTGACGAGACTCCACGTGTTTGGTGATCGTGCATGCCTGTCATCCCGCCTTTTCAAGACATCGGGTTGGTGGATTGTGTTGATTTGTAAAATACACTCAATCCTGTGGGGAGTGAGCAAGTGGGTTCATGAACCAATCTATATGAACCCACTATGTATAAAGACTCATTAACATAGTTGACCAAAAATCCCAATGTAATACCACAGAGGCTTTGGCAATTGTAGGCAGCAGTTTTGGCTGTCTTCCCAAAGTGCACATTACAAATTCTACAGCCTTTTTGAGATCCAATTTGCATGATGTGAAATAAATTAAATGAAAAATGATTTAGATTGATATGGTACCTTTAAACTATGGATCTCAGAACGCCAGGAACTCCCCTTAAAATGTATCTGGATAAATAAATGACATTACAGTACGGCCTGTTCTCCTATAACGCAACATGTTTTCATAACGTGAATTGGATATAACGAGATGCTGAATGCATTATGGAACACATTTTTTATAATGCAGATGCGAATTAGATATAACGCTGTTGAGTGACTAGAACAACATCGCCAGAATAGGAATAAGCAGTTTCTACGGCTGCCTTGATGTAGCATCACATAAGGTGGATGGTGCCCATGCATCTCAGTCTTTGTTCAGCCTGCATACGCATCTCATGTGTTATCACGAACTGTGCTTTACCCTATATTACGTATTATTTATTATAACGCAATTTTTCTATCATACGGTGTTCTTCAGGAAGCAACTACCGCGTGATAGGAGAACACACTGTATTATATAGGCCTGACAATGGGAACCTGCAAAGAAATAAATAAGATCACGGACTAAGAAAGACACATTCCAAACAAAAAGCAGCTGGTCTGACTTAATTCACCTGAGTGGTGGCCCAGGTTGTCTAGCAGCATTGGAAATTTCCAGTGTACGAGACTTTCTGTGACATTGCCCTGCCAGGAAGCCCACAACATCAAACCCAAGTTGGAAAAAATCCCAGGGAGTGTAGACCTCCCGTTACTCCAAAACCTACTCGACCCTCCACAAACTTGCCCGAGATCCCCGAAACCAATTTGAATTCTAGCGAGACAATTGGGTGAAGCGGAGGTCAACTGAAGACCGTTGGGTGAACGCCGCGGAGTTCTGCCGAGGTTGCTAATAAAAGCCTCACCGAGAACCCTACCGCTGCTCCGCACCGCTTCGTTCGGCCAAGAAAACTGTGGTGGTGGATCCACCAACTGGTTGAAAACAGCGACCACTCGCATCACAGAACCTCTTCCATAAATGGGAAATAAAAGATGACCCACAGTGAGTGACTGAGGCCAACCGAACCAAACGATGAATTGTATCGCTATCAGTTGCATTCTACGCCCACTCTCCAGTGGACTAGATAGTATGAGTCGCGTTTCTCCCCAAGCTATCACATGGCTCACATACTTAAACCTGGATGTGTGATTTATACGTACTTAACATCTGCTAAAAGGGACATGCCCTTGCACCCCTATTTGGTGCCTAAGTGGATATCAGGGACGCCTCCACCAGGCTCCCTTCACTGCCACTCAGATGCAGCGAGGTGTCAGTGCAACCTCAATAGAAACCCACTGCCTCAATACAAATCCACTGCCTCCACCTGCACCCAGTGTCAATACAAACCCACTGCCTCAAACTGTACCCACAGCATAAATACAACTCAGTCTCAACAGGGAACCACAGCATCAACAACAATCGCAAATCCGTAGTGATGCTACAGTGGAAACCCTGTTAATTCTGGAGTGGCTGAAACCTTCATTTAACCCATGAACTGAGCTATACGGGCTCACCATGTCAACGCTTCTGTTAAGAGTTCCCTCGAGCCACGTGGCCGTCCTGACCCAGCACCGGTGGCCTCTAGTGCCCAAGCGTTCAATTGGAATCTCGGGAAGCCAGGACACAGTCTCACCTGTCCGTGGCATCCACCTGGTCCAGGTACTCGTAGAGGGAGTCATCGGCCAGCGAGTGCAGCGGTGATGAGAGCGCCGCCCCAACGGTGGACACAGCGAGCACCAGGGCGAACACGCGCCACGCGGACAGCGCGACGGCTGGGCGTAGCGTGGCCACTGCAGGCCTCGCCACTGGTGGCATAGCCGGTGGCGGCAAGACCGACGCGAGCTCGCCTGGGACAAGGTCGTTCGAAGATATCGCACGCTCCGCTCGGCTGCCGTTCTCGTCTCCGACTGGACAAAAAAAATAAAACACAAACGGCATGGGAGCTGCCATGGCGCCATGATTCGCACACTGGAAATGCAATACGGATATTTCCAGTTAGATTCCATCTTCTGGTGCGGCAGTTGAAACTTTAGAGCAAATACCTCGAATCCCCGTAACATGGTTAAATTTCCATCTTTAATTCTCTCAAGACCCACATTCCAATCTCACAATACTTTACACTGCTTCTGAACACGCAAAAGTTTACTTGAACAAAGTTAAAATATGAAAACATTCCAACCTGGAAGAAATGTTTCATTTTTGATCGCCACCATGACTGTCGTCCCCTCTTTGTCCTTTCCGCCATCGTCAACCGAGCTCTTTAACTTCGTTGGCGGTGCCTCCTCCTCAGACTCCCCCCACCTCGTCGACGACACGTGACTGCCGGCGTTGGGCAGCAGAGTGGTAGAACCGGTGTTGGAGCTCAACGTCGAGCTCCAGTTTGCCTTTGGCTTCTCGTCTACCCCAGGTAACGCTGCTGACCCAGTCGGGTTTGTTGGAAGATGGTTCAGCCGAGCTTCAACCATGGCAGAAGTTGGCAGGATGGTGTCAGGAGGAGCTGGCCTGGCGTTTAAAGGAACAGTGCTGGGGCTCACAAAACCACTGGTGACACCGTCAGAAGGCAAACGGGTTTCTTTGCCTCCAAAAAATGACCAGCTAGCACTGGAAGGTGATGAGCTGACGTTGAAATATGACGAGTTTGCGTTAACAGATGGCGTGGTAGCATTGAAAGGTTGTGAGGTAGTGCCAAACGATGTTACAGCAGGGCCGGTGCTTACTCTGTGCGTGCTGCCTATAATCGCCTTGCCAAATGCTGCTCGTGTCATGCCGGGGTCTGTGGTGCCGTCGCCAAACGAGCTCCTGTTTGCGAGCTCCACGGTGGTGTTGCCGCCGCGGAAGAGCGACCACGGTTGTGCCGACGGCACCGCGGTGAGGCCGAGGGTAGCCGTGGCGCTGCATGCGAGCGCCAGCAGCATGGTCAGGCGGCGCCGGCGGCTGCGCTTGGCACAGCGCGACAGCATGGGGCCGCACACGATGTGCGCCAGCGTGCGCGAGGACGCCACCAGCCCCAGGTGCAGGGGTGCGAGGCCCAGCACGCTCAGGTAGACGGGCAGGAAGGGCAGCAGAGAAGCACCGGCCGCCCCCAGCAGTAGGAAGAAGAGGCCCGAGGCGACAACAGCCCGGTCCACATCCCACTGCTGCGTGTCGACGGGGCCGTCCGTGTAGATGCGCAGCCATGACCGCTTCTTCATGATGGCCCCTGAGCTGACGAGATCAAGTAACACAGGAGCGGCTGTCATAATCATTGCAACTAAGTACATTTGGTGTGCACTCCGTTCTAATGTGCAGGGCTATCCCAAAGGCATTACGTTTCATAGACAGCTGTAGTCTGCTGTAGGGAGTGGATGGGTATAGTCTGCCAGTAGGAAGTTATGTTGCTTTGTGTAATTCCAATTGAGTAATATATGGCTAATTCAATATGGACTGTGATTTTGGCACATGATGGCCTACTCAAATGTCATCCATTGTGAAGCAGAGGATGCATATTTATGGCTAACATATTTATGGTTAATCGACCCGCAGTAATGATCAGGGCCAGAGTCAAATCACGAACCTCTAGAACAAGCGGTGAACGCGCGGCCACTGGGCCATGTCATCAACCCAAATAACAAGGATGAAGTGCCATGACAAGATGTAAGGATGAGGTGTGCAGCAAGTGCAGTTTAGAACCTGTGTGGATTTATATGAAACCTGTGTGGATTTATATGAAACCTGTGGACCCGTACTTACTCTCCCCTCTTACCTTACCTACTCGATTCACTTCCACCTCCTCCCTCCTCTCCAGCAACTAAGGCCTTCTGTGGAAAGCACTGCTTGGCAAATGCTCATTTCGAGGTTGCTCCTTCTCTTCTGCTGCCCTCCCATCAATCTCTGGGATTATCTTCTCTGAGCCTGCTGTACTCCTGGCCCTATTCCCTAATAGTTGTTGATACGTTATTTAATCCTTACCTGCTATCACTACAGTAGTACATTTTGACTATAGCAGTATATATGGACTCTATAGCACAAAGTACTCACCGAACAGAGTAGCGTGGTGAGGCCTAGTCCCGTGCAGAGCCCCTAGCCTCGCCAAGATTGCCCAGCCGGCTGAGGTGGCACCTTGGCAGGCTGGGCCGCTATTCCCCCCCCCACCATTCCCCCGCCTGCGCTACAATAATACTATCTAAGCGCTATAGTATTAGTATCTACCGACCCTATAGTAGTAAGTGCACACTTTGGGGTGGGGGGAGGGGGAGAAGAGGACATGACCCTTTGATTAATTTACCTCAGCGTTGTGTGTATTCTTTTAAGTATTTTGAACGCGAATAAGAAATCCCCACCCCCTCCACCGATGACAGGTGTGCGTTGTTAGGGGCAACCCCCAGGCTGGTTTCGAGGTGCAAGGAAATAATTAAATAATGAGATATCTCTCTTCATTGTTAATTTAACTACTTTAAATTTGACGGATGGGAAAACGGAATAGCGCTGGCTCACCACGGGGCTTACGGCGTGATGAGCCAAATCCTTCACAAGTTGCGTGCACACAGACACAGAGACAGACAGACGGACAGACAGACAAAAAATGACGTTTATAGGTAAGATAAGAAGTTGAATGTAGTGAATGTAGTGTATATAATATTTGATACTGAAATCAAGCATAGCTACTTTTTTTGTCAAGCACATGGTGCCGATCGCCGGACTGGTTACAGCCTTTAGAAGGGGTTTGGCAGATCGGTCCGGGACCGCCGGATGTTGGGAGCCGGATAATCGATGATTAACTGTAGCTCTTTTTCAGAAACAACGAGGCCACAAATGATAGCTCAACTAAGTTTCTTATCACGTGGAAATTTATAGCAGCCAAATACTCTAAATGTTTCTAAATGTGGAGGGGAAAACCGGAGTACACGGAGAAAAATCCACGCGTCCATGGGGAGAACATGAGGACTCCAAACATACAGGCATCAGGGTGGGGGATCGAACCTACGACCTCCTGTATACCAGGTGAGGCAGTTAACATCTCGCCACAATGACCTTCAAGCTACAAAAAGTTGCAGGAACGACCTGAAGCGTTTCAGCTGCTGTGCTATAAACTTACGCATTCTCACTGATCCACTCAGTGGCAAAGAACTGCGCTCCCGCCTGTTCTGGGAGCTCATACACAAAACTGCTGGATGCGCAAGAACGCATTGCACAACACGACCGGACACGGAAACGGACACCAATCTCCGGCTGCCTGTTCTGACCAACATTCTGCCACCACATATCTGCAGAGACGTGCAAACGGCATGAGAGTTTACACGATGTCTTGCCAACGACCACTAACCCATCATCAACCAAGACCTCAACAATGTTCCTTGCCGCGACTCAATTCCCAATCTCTCTTCTAGGATCGCGTCGCAGCTGCTGCTGTCACCATCCTAGAATATCAACGTAGATCTGGAAGCATGCCAGTAAAGAGAGTGGAACAACGAGGCCGTCCAGAATAAACACCTCCCTCACGCCGGACCCAAAGATCATACAGTACCACCTGGCTTTGACATTCCTCGAAGATACTGATGTAACAATCGATTGCATAATTACATCGACAGGCTGATGTGTAACATTTCCCGCAGGAATGCAACCGTGGCCATGCAACACAAACTGTGTATCATATAGAAAACCCTAAGACCCACTAAGTGTGTGACCATGCAACAACCCAAACCATTAACTATATCACGAATTACTTTAATCTGTGCTCATTCAATGGAGGAACAGCGAAACTATACGAACTCTGTCCTGAAGCCCTCTCGTGGCGAGCACTGGCAATTCAACTCCGGAACCCATATCGCTACCATCATATGCAAGCAGAGAATCCCGTGTGCAGAGTGGAGAGTTAGGGGAGAGTGGAGAGTTAGGGGAGAGTGAAGGGAGAGGCTTGTAGACTCTACGCTGCAGGGGTCGGGTTCCCGTCGCCCGGCTCGGCCCGCAGGTCTTGTTGCGCCCTGCGTGTACTGTAGTGGCGTGCACTGTAGTTGGCGTGCACTGTAGTGGCGTGCACTGTAGTTGGCGTGTACTGTAGTGGCGCGTACTGTAGTTGGCGCGTACTGTAGTGGCGCGTACTGTAGTTGGCGTGTACTGTAGTGGCGTGTACTGTAGTGGCGTGCACTGTAGTGGCGTGCACTGTAGTGGCGTGTACTGTAGTGGCGTGTACTGTAGTTGGCGTGTACTGTAGTGGCGCGTACTGTAGTTGGCGCGTACTGTAGTTGGCGCGTACTGTAGTGGCGTGCACTGTAGTGGCGCGTACTGTATTTGGCGCGTACTGTAGTTGGCGCGTACTGTAGTGGCGCGTACTGTAGTGGCGCGTACTGTAGTGGCGCGTACTGTAGTGGAGCGTACTGTAGTGGCGCGTACTGTAGTTGGCGCGTACTGTAGTGGCGCGTACTGTAGTTGGCGTGTACCGCAGTACAGTAGTTTGAGTGTACGATACTTTAGTTTGCGTTCACTGCAGCGTGTGTACTGTAGTACTGTTGCCTGCGTTCACTGTAGTTTGCGTATACATTATTGCACATGTGTGTGCTTTAGACTGCGTGTACTGTCGTACTATACGTGCATGGTAGTTGGCGTGTAGGTACTACTGTCATGTGTGTACTGTGGTCTGTATATTGTGTACTGTAGTCTGATTGTACTGTAGCGAGTACTGTACTGGAATTTATTTGTTACACGGATTAACTTTTCCCAGTTCCCTGGCTCTTTTACAAGGGAGATTCGTGAACACAGCAACGAATCAAATCGACCAATATTGCAGAGAACAGTGTCCATAGCGAATATTGCACACCTGAGTGTGTATGTTGTAGTACTGTTGCGTGTGTACTGTAATATACGGTAGTGTTTACGGTAGTGTTTACTGCAGTGTATAGTAGTACTGCAGTGCGTGTACTGTAGTGAGTTGTAGTACTGTAGTGTGTGTGTTGCAAGACTGTAGTGTGTGTACTGTCGGTATTACTCACAGATAACCTCGAGATCACCTCCCGCGCCACGGAGACTCCGAGTCACTGCACGCCAACGCTTCCTGGTGGCGTCACTTCCGGATCGCCACGTGGCGCCAAACTCGAAACGTCAGACATACTCCTGGATGCTGCGGCTCACACGGGCAGGAGGGCACTGGCGCGCCTCCTGATTACAGACCTAAAGAACCTGTGCTGAAACTTCTAAATGTTATGGCAGGGGGTGAGTCAATTCATACAACACCCACGGTTGACTTCCTCGCAAAGTGGTGCCGATTTTACCGACCCCCGGAGGGAGGGAATGATGGGTCCGAGTCGACCCCTGAACCCAGGGTAGGAACCTACCAGTGACGTGCAGTGAGGTCAATGGTTGGGGAGGCACTGGCTCGTTTTAGAGCCAGATTTACAAACATATGAACCCGATAGAGGTAGCTTAAATTTACCATTCAATTGGCAGGTTGCACAATGACTATTGGTTAGGCGGCCGTATGTTTCATATTTCATATCAGCATTCTTTACAACACACGAATACAGACAGGTAAGTTACGTATTCGATTCACGTTTTATAGGCGAATGCAGTTCCACTATTCATACTCATTCAACACAAATGAAAATATATATTGCATGGTCTTACCTTTACTTGTAAATTAAGTACATTCGCCTATCCTTCTGGACAAATATGTCAGTGACTTTGTTGAAGTCCTTTATTCTCTTTTAGTGTTAAAAGTCTCTCCGTCTCAGTAGAGATGATTGCTAGGGATGAAAGTCGTCCTTGGTCAGTCCGATTCCGACTGTATGTTTTGAGTCGTTTCAAAGCAGAGAGCGACCTTTCAACGGACGCTGTTGTAGCTGGGATAGTGAGCACCACCAGCTGGAGTAACTTTGTCGCCTCGGGAACCGTCTGCGTCAGATCATTCTGGGCCAATAAGCTGAGGAGCTGTGCATTCGTTCCTCACCATTTGTGAACTATACAATCCGATAAGGTCAGCCTTTAGTCTAACAAAGTCAAAGTACCTTGCATATTTTGATAGGCTCTGCAGTCTGGTGTCATCGAAATGTGACATTTCATAAAATTTCGTGCAATCAACTAAACCAAGGAAAGTTATCTCACCGATATGATTAAACCTAGCTTTCATTTGAACACTGATATTGTCCAGAATGTTATAAAACATTATTTTCCTCTCGTCTCTGGCTGTTTACTTCGCATTGTCTGTCAGGCCAAGTGTGACGAATTTCTGCTCGAATCGATCATTGTGTCGCAGAATCCAATGTCCATTACTTTATTCTGCAGCACACGAAAGAGTGCATCGGTTTCATTGAAAATGCTCTGATATGCCATTATGAAGAAGCAGGTTGATGCTTTTGACAGCCAGAGATCATATCCGGCACTCTTCGTTTTTTTGGTAAAGTCACGTAGGTAAAAAATTAAATAAAAATTTATAAAAATAAATAATAATAAATCACGACGTTTCGTAGGCAACGAAACGTCGTGAGGGAGGCGTTCTTGGGATTTGATGTCAGTGATGACAGACAAGCACCGGCTATTGCTGATTATGTTTTGGGAGTGTTGGGGAAATACAATTGCGTTGAAAAGCTGGTAGCTTAGACTTATGATGGAGCCTCTGTGATGGCATCAGATCTTAATGGGGTGCAGGCCAAGATTAAAGAAAAGGTACCTGAAGTCACGTTTACCCATTGTTATGCACACAAATTGAACCTGGTGCTCTCGCATTCAGCAAAATGTATGCCTGAGTGTAAAAGTTTTTTTACAGGGAGGAACAATGTTCCACACTGCCCACCAGGGATTATTTAGCTGTCTGTTTGTCTGTCTGTCGTGCATAAATAAATATATAATACACACAGCTCTTTGATTGGTGGAGACCTACTGCCGGGTACGGAAAGGGGAGGTGCCTAAGGGAGGAGGATCAGGGGAGGGGCCTAAGGAAGGGGAGGGAGTCAGGTAAACAGCTCCTTGATTGGTGGAGACCTACTGCCGGGTACGGAGAGGGGAGGTGCCTAAGGGAGGAGGGTCAGGGGAGGGGCCTAAGGAAGGGGGGAGTCAGGAGAGGGGCCTGAGGGGGGGGGGGGTTCAGGGGAGGGGCCTGAGGGGGGGGGGTCAGCGGAGGGGGCTGAGGGAGGGGGGGTCAGGGGAGGGGCCTAAGGGTAGGGGGGTCAGGGGAGGAGCCTAAGGGAAAGGGGGTCAGGGGAGGGGCCTAAGGGGGGAGGGGGGGGCGATAGTTAAGGGGGCTGTCTGCCTGGCTACCTAAAGTCAAGTTATCTTTTATACATACAGGTAGGAACAACAGGTTCCACACTGCCCACCAGGGATTATTTGTCTGTCTGTCGTGCACGAATGCGCTGTCCAACCAAGTTCCTACCTGCCCACTCCGAAGGAACGTGTTTCACTCGTAGCTTGGCTCTCCAACACACCGGTGTGCTGTACCAGTGACGAATTGGCATGTTCTGTTCCGTTTACGTGACAACCCTGACGAGTTGGCTGTGTCGGGTGGTGGCGGGTTTTAACGACACATTTATATATTTACGTGATTTAACCCAAATAAAACCTCTCATGGATAACCTACGTGTTCTCTAATCCACGTAGTAACTAACCTACGTGTTCTCTAACCCACGTGTTAACTACCCGTTCTCGAATCCACGTGTTCTCTAATCCACACGTTAACCAGCGTGTTCTCTTATCCACGTGTTCCTGTTGGGAGATTTTGAGCTGGCGCGGCCCAGACGCTGGGATGGGCACATACCTTTATCCTCTGGATAAATTATTTGAATGTACAATGCTGAGGTTGAGCTTGGTTAGTACTTCAATGACGGGTTTCTTAAGATCAGGTGTTGTAAGGTTGACTACGAGGTTGCCAGGAGATGGAAGTACATAAATTGATTATTGAATCTGTCTGTGAAGGGGTTTCTTATTGTAATTTTTTCCCTACACGAAGCCAACCTCTCATTATTGGCCAACTATCCAAATGTAGCAGGACCCCCTGATAAAGTATTGTGACTCAATGAGACTTCCCAAAGTAAAATGCATTACAGTACCTCAAAGTGCATTACACATTATGAAAATATCACCTAATGGTAGCAAAGATGACCATGAGCTATTATCAACCCACTGCTGGATGAATGCCTCAAGCTGCTGCCACCTTTCACGATCCGACGATGTAACAATGGGTGTACTCTCCAATGTGTTCCATTTCTTAGCATGCCACTCCAGTTATTATTCACGACCAGATGCCATTATCCCATCTCACGACGTGTTGTCGAAGCCCACTTTTCTTAAGTTTGGATGAAGTAATTTAACCTGCGTACATGCATGCTTATTTATGCAATTTTCAGTTCTATATTTTGATCATTACCGTGCATCTGAATCAAGTCATAGTAGCCAATACGCAACGATTTGGACAACGGTACATTGGTGTTAACTTTCATGATCAAGTTCAGTGTTCCATTAAAAACAATTTGACATCATTTGGAGATAAGGGGCCATCCATAAATGACGTTACGCGATTTTGGACGCTTTTTGACCCCCCCCCCATCACAAAAAGTCAGACCCCCCCCCTCAAATAGGACGTAACAAAGCTCTGCCCCCCCTCCCCCAAATAAAACATGCTTCAAATCGCTTTAAACTATATTCTTAGGTTTTTCGGTAAAGTCACGTAGGTAAAAAATTTAAATTAATAAAAGTAAAATAAAAATCACGACGTTTCGGAGGCAACACAAGCTTCCGTCTTCAGGTGGAACCGTCACAGCACGATAGCTGTATCAAGTAAATGAGAGATTACAAGAGATACCACGGAGTGGTATCTCTTGTAATGGTTGAGGGGGGGGGGATGGGCCAGGAACGGCCCACTTTTTATTATGGTAAGGTGCGGCTTGAGACTACAGCTAGACTACATAACATATGACTGAGCCTTTATTATGGTGAGGTGCGGCTTGAGACTACGGCTAGCATACGTAACAAAATGCTGCAAATGAGACCGAGCCTCTGCCATGTAGATGGTAAAAGCACAAAAGCAGGTCAGGAAGAAACAGCCTCCTGCTATGTTGTTTGGTGGGTAAAACTTATAGCAGGAAACCAGTGTGTGAAACAAGTCTTCTTCTTCTTCCTAGCGTTGTTCCCGCTGTGGCGCAGGGTCCGCTTTTCGGCATTGTCTTCTCCATTTGGCTCGGTCCAGGGCATCTTCAGGGGATGCGTTGACCGTCTTCATGTCTTCCTTTATTCGGTCCATCCATCGCTTCTTCGGACGTCCGCGTGGACGGCGGCCCTCTGGCTCAATACGCACGGCAGTCTTGGCCACTGATGACTCTTCACTTCGCATCACATGGCCGTACCACCGAAGCCTTGCCTCAAGCATCTGTGTGAAACAAGTAAACCCGTAAAAAAAAGTTTTTCACTCTAAATCCTTTATATGCGTGGCGGCTAGAGTTCTCTCGTCCTCTGGCTTGAGATGGCTGCAATCTATGGGTCAGATGATGGTCTGCCAGTATTAAGCAATTGGTAATTAAATATTTAATTAGTTTTCCCTAAACAGTGTAAAATTTTGGAAAAAAAATTTCACGAAAATTAATTGTCACACACAACGAGTCTGTGTGGAAAATGTCAGCTCGATTGGATCACGGGAAGTGGATTAAAAAACGACCGAAAGATTTGCACGGTCCTAAGCAAGCAAGCAAGCACGCGAACTTAATATAAAGGATTTAAAAAGAAGCTAAACCTGGTAAAACAAAACTGGCTGTCTATCAGTAACCTGTACAGTAACTCAAGAATAGTTGTCTGTCAAATAAGATGGTCCAAATAAGTGTAGTTAAATCTTTTTTGCATGGTTAATCACATCTTTCCAATGATTACTCAGTTTGTAACCATCATCACGGTTGAAATTATGCCTTTGTTTGTATATTTGTATGGCTTCGTGCTCTGCAAACCTTCTGGCTACCATCAAAGGTTTGTTTAAATACACTTATTTTGACCATCTTATTTGACAGACTATTCTTGAGTTACTGTACAGGTTACTGATAGACAGCCAGTTTTGTTTTACCAGGTTTAGCTTCTTTTTTCACACACTGGTTTCGTGCTATAAGTTTTACCCACCAAACAACATAGCAGGAGGCTGTTTCTTCCTGACCTGCTTTTGTGCTTTTACCATCTACATGGCAGAGGCTCGGTCTCATTCGCAGCATTTTGTTATGTAGGCTAGCCGTAGTCTCAAGCCGCACCTCGCCATAATAAAGGCTCAGTCATTTGTTATGTAGTCTAGCCGTAGTCTCAAGCCGCACCTTACCATAATAATAAAAAGTGGGCCGTTCCTGGCCCATCCCCCTCCCCCCTCAACCATTATATATACGGAGTGGTATCTCTTGTAATCTCTCATTTACTTGATACAGCTAGCGTGCTGTGACGGTTCCACCTGAAGACGGAAGCTTGTGTTGTCTCCGAAACGTGATTTTTAAAATTTTACTTTTATTAATTTTTTACCTACGTGACTTTACCGAAAAACCTAAGAATATGAATCCTTGCAGTCACGAAAGCTTCAAATCTCGCTTTAAACTATTGTCATTGTAGTGCGAATTTTGTGGCCTGCACTCTGTTGTAGGAGAAAACATTTATTAAAAAGTCTATTTAATTAAGTAGAACGTTGTCTATATTTATTTAAAATTGCGCATTTTGATGTGACGTCACATTTCTCACCCCCCCCCTAGGTGCGTGACGTCATTTATGGACTGCCCCTAATTTAGGACGGCGTTATGTTTCATATTTTAAGCTCGCTAGTCAACGTAAATTACATTAAAACAAATTCAGGGCCTATGGTAAAACACGCTTGGTTAAGATGATCTAGTAAAAATGAAATGTGAATTTGTATTTAATTTTACTTTACTGACTTTACCGAAAAAACCTAAGAGTATAAGCGCTGTATTTAAAAATACAGGATGTGGTGTCTGAGCGCGTTACTTTTATGTGTGTAGTGCTTCAATAAAGACACACTACGCGAGTTGAGGCGAGTCTTTATTTAACTTCCCTTACGGGACGGGTTCTATAATTGTTGTAAACGTAACTACCCCTATGTAACACTGTGTAACACTATGTAACCCCCTTACACACGAGGCGATTCAAGATCCCAGCCCGACGACGTGACCCGACCCACCGAGTCACCCACAATGAAGACCCCCCTTTTACTGGAGCACGCTGCCCTTTTATCCCCCTAGCGGGGTCTTCCCCCCGCCCTCTGGCTACGCCCTCATTCTGTCCCTTGATTACCTTCAGGACATGATTTACTGGCATTAAATATGTAACAAATAGAAATTATGCGATAAGCAATATTGTTTACATGTTAGCTTCTCCCCTACAGACCCACTGTGATTGGCAACTTTATCTGTTACTCAAATCACGTCTGCTGCATCCACGAGCCTTGCA